GTGTGTGTATACAGAGAGGACATGTTTATTTTAAGTTTGAATGTCTGTATACCAAAATGTTAACACAGTTCTCTCTGGGCGTGGTAAGTGGATGTTTTTATAATATGGGGGTGCCTTCCTGTATTTTCCAAATCTTCGAYGGTGAGTATGTCACCTGTGTAACTGGAAGAAAGGCATGCTAAATATAAAAAAGAAACAACCACAATCCTAGGTGTGTATCAACAAGTTGGCACTGTACCTCATGCATGGCAAGTGCTGAAAAGTCCCAGCTGGGGTCAGGGCACCTCTGGGTTGTCCTGCAGCTCAGCTTGTGACTCAGCCACTTGGTCTGTGTTGACTGAGCCGGTGTAGTAGAGACATCAGTTGGGAAACGTGGCCAGCCTCACCTGTATCATAGAAGGCAGGCCTTACGCCCACCGGGGGGGAGTCATGGCACTAACGTCCCTGAGAGGGTCAACAACCCACACAGTCCAGAACCTCCTGCGTCCTTCCATCCCGACACAGTGCATCAATGCTAATGTTCAGACCAAGTTCCTCCGGAGGCAGCCTAGCCAGCCAATTAGTATATTTATATTTCATCTTGTTCCAGAAGGGCTAAAGTGTCTCACCCAGCTCTCCTCTCACTATACTTCGGTGAATACGAAGCAGCATGCTTCCTGTTGCATACCTTTTTACTAATGAAAGCTAACTTTAGGGCTGAGGCTGTAGCTCAGCAGTAGAGCATGTGCCTAGCACACCCTGGGTTTAATTTCCAGCAAAAACAAACCAAAATACCAAATTAATTTGCTACCTAGCTGGTGAACACCGACCATCTGCAAGACTGGGGATAGACCCAAGGCCAACGAGATCTTATCTTCCCTCAGTGGGGCTTACAGTCTAATGGAACAACCAAGTCCACAAATAGAGAACAGTGAGCAAGACGACTGGAAACCACGAGAAAGGGAATCACCAACCACATGGGCACAGAGAGACTTTATACACCATGCAGCTTGAAAAAGGTGCCAAGTCAGATGTGTGATGTCATTGGAAAGAGAGCATCCAGCAGAAGGGCTTTGCTATCTCTGCTTTATATCTCAATAGAGTAAATGTGTTCTAAAATCTAGGCTAATAGAAGGTTCAAAGGCTGGCTTCCCCCACTCTCTTAACAGATAAATTATAAGTAAAATATCAGATGGTGGATACTTTTTAAGTACTTTGCTCTTTTTAATAATGTTGTGGTAGCTACTTAAGCTTAATGCATTTACCTCTGCACCGGACCCCACTCTAGTGATSTACCTGCCCACTCACACCTTGCCATAGGTACAAAGATTGCTTCCAGTTTGTTGCTATTATAGCCAATGCTTCAAAGAACATTCTTGAAAATATGATCTTATACTCGTTCAACTATCTGTAAATTCCTAGAAGGGAATTTCTGAGTCAAGGATAATGCATATCTTAAATTCTGATACCGCCAAATTGCTCTCATCTCACCAACAGTGAATGAAAGTGCAGGTTTTCCACACTCTCACCAATACTGATATGTAAATCTCTTTGGTCTTTACAGATAGGATAGCCAACAAATGATCATTTTTTAGCTTGCATTTTTCTTGCTAGTGATACTGAATGTGTTTTCATAGTTTTATTGCCCAATATTAGACCAGCAGATAAAACATGGCATTTATGATAATATCATAAATCTATATTTACAGAATCTTATCTATTGTACATAAAGAGATGTAGGGGAGGGTGTTCATCAGCTGTTAACAGCTGCCTTGGGCTGGAAGTGTAGCTCAGTCATAGAGCACTTGCTTAGCCTGAGTAATGCCTGTGGTTCCATCCCCAGGACTGTACAAAAATAAAATGAGTGAACACACAAAAGAACAAACAAACAAAAACATATCTAGTGGTGGGCTTTGGGTACTTTGTTGTTTTTTCTTTTTAAAATAAAGTTGTGGGTACAACCAGAGAAATGAAAAGTTGGGCTCCGCATTCTGCTGTCATGTATGACTAAGCAGAACAAATAAACAATAAATAAAATAAAATAAATAAAAATTTAAAAATCATTTGAGTTTTTCAACTCAAATTTTAAAACAACCAGAAATGTTATTGTGTAACAAAATATAGATGAGGCATTTCCAAAATTTAGTTTGTTGAGAGAAGTTGCAATTTTTTTCTTCCATATTTTGACTAGGATGTTTTAACAAACTTTTGTTTGAAAAGATCTCTTACAAATTCTTTACCTTTTTWAAATTTTAATCAAAATTTAAAAAAAGTTTTGTTTTGTTTTTTAAAACATTTTATTCTTGGGACTGGGGTTGTAGCTCAGTGGTAGATCACTTGCCTTTYGTGCRTGAGGCACTGGGTTTGAATCTCAGCACCACATAAAAATAAATAAACATATTAAATTTAAAAAACCATTTTATTCCTTTTTATGGGAAGCAAAAATAGTTATTTTCACTTAAAAAAAATTAAGTCCCAGTTTATGTTTTAATATGTTAGGGCAAATTTTGTACAAGCATTCACATCTGTAATAATACTGAAGTGAAATTCTCAGATATTGTTAGTGACAATCACCAGGATAGAAAGAAATATTAGTAGGTTTTCATTTATTTCAAGTCCAAACTTGAAAAACGCCACTGCCTCACGGTCTGGCTTCACGTTCTTCCACGATCACGTCTGTCGGCCTCCACAGAGACACAAGTCCCAGCCTGCCCTCAAGGTGCTTGGTCTAGCAGGTCTCCCCAGCAGAGACCCTAGGTCCTGAGGACAGCAGGCAGGAGGGGAGCTTAGAGTAATAGTGGATGCATATTGAAGACCCATCACATGCTGGGTACCCTTCAAAGTCCTCGTGAGCACCCTCTGAGATGGGCTCCCTCATTGTCCCAATTCTGAAGAAGATCCTGAGGCACCGAGCACTTCAATTACTGTCCCAAGGTTAAGCTGCTAGTGAAAGGAGGGATCCTTTAAAAGCCCTCGTTAACAGTTCTACCCTATGTTGGTTTTATCTTTGTAGCAGACCCCAAATGAGGAATGCTTATTCCTGGAAAGGCTGGAGGAAAACCATTACAACACGTACACATCCAAGAAGCATGCGGAGAAGAATTGGTTTGTTGGCCTCAAGAAGAACGGAAGCTGCAAGCGCGGTCCCCGGACTCACTATGGCCAGAAAGCGATCTTGTTTCTCCCACTGCCTGTCTCCTCTGATTAGAGAAATCTGTTCTGGGTGCTGACCACTCCAGAAGAGCCTTGAGGGGTCCTCACCTGATTGACCCYCAAATGTCCCCTTGATCATGGCTGCACTAACCCCCAGCCCACGGAGCCTGAATTTGTAAGCAATGCGCTTCTATATGCCAGTTCCCTTTTTTTCAGAGCCCTTTACCCTAGCTCAGTTTGGAACAGAGGGACCAAATTGCTTCCAGGGGTGGCTGGCTGGCCAGTCTGAGTCCAGGTTTGGAGGTTCAGTTGCCGCAGGGCACCTGTGGTAGGCTGAGCCTCTCAGTGCAAGGTGGGGCCAAATGAAGTGTGTTCCGGGGTTTGCCAAGTGGCCGTAGGTAACTGCAGAGCATTTCCTGCTGCTGAATAAACCCCAGCTGCCGGTCCCCCAAACATCTGGCCCAACCTGCCTCTTTTCCTTTCGGTAGCTCACAAATATTAGCAGAGAAGCAGATCGTGAGGTTTAGAGGAAGGCCATGATCCGTAATAGAAGCAGGGACAGAGAAGTCCTCCCTTGAGCACAGAAGGGATTTAAATTGGAAAGAGGGGATGCACTTGGGACATCAGAGAAGGATGGAATTTTTCAATGCAGGATAAATGAAGGAGGGGAGGCTCAGCCACAGGAAGGAACAAACCCATAGCCTTAGGAATCAATACGTGCCCAAGAAGCCTCTGAGGTCAGGAGGAGCATGGGAAGTGGCTTCTTCATAAAAGCAAGGACATCAATGCTGGGAAGTTCATCTGGGTCTTGGTAGTGTGTTGGGAGTGAGGAGAAAGGAAGGGTGTCACTGGCTAAGGGGATGCTGCACTCTGAGAAGGACGATTTTAGAAGACAGGAAGAAAGAGAAAGTGACACCAGGACTTGTGCTTGGCCACCAGTAAGCAGGGCTTTGGAGTCCGCATGCAGTGCTTCCCCACTCTGATGTGCTTAGGGGTCAACTGGGAGCTGCTTTGAAGTAGTTTCTGGTTGGGTGGGGCTGGGAGCTTCTACATTGCCAAGAGGCTCCCAGGTCCTGCAGATGCTGCTGCCTTTCCCCAGTGCACTTGAAGGAGCAGATCAGAAAAAAAAAAAAAAAAATGTCATTAAAATAAAGGTGGCTCGAAGCCCTGACCCTCACCCACCTCTGCCTCACCTCGAAACATGCACTCCCCCCACACCCTTCCCTGAACATTCAGGCAACATTGACGATAGTTAGGCCTGTATCAAGGAAGGATTTTAAAGACCCAATGTTGGCAATATGCCCATTTAGAAGATATACAAAAGCCTACAAGAAAGTGTTAAACCCTCACACACAGCTTGCCCCAAGAGACCATTTCTGTTACCCTTCCTTGTATAAATATGCTTCCTGCTTAAAGTGAACTTGGCCCAAGTGGCTAGCATATTAGTAACACCATTCATCTCTGACATAGGATACCGATGCTGAGGCCTTTAATAAGCCATTTAAATTTACTGTGAGACTGTACGTTTTAATCACATTCTGAAATATATAGCTGGAAGGCAGTTAAACTGATTAGCATTCAGCCTTTGAGAATGGTAATAATAGGATACGATATATAAGGTACTCAGTTAACTAACACTTCACCATGTTTACTCATGAGATTTTTTTCTTTGTCTTCCACTGTGCTGTCCCACATTTTCTCTTGAAAATGGGGACTCTTAACCAATGAGATGATCGTTGTATATAAAAAACGGATGAGAGTGTTAGCTCACGTTTTACAACGAATCGCAGTAATTTTTAACTGAAGCATCATTTCTCACTCATTGAACTGTCATACTTAGGATGAAAGAAGAACGACAATTTGAAAGTTCAATGTGAGAGCGCATCTGAGGAACTAAGTTGGCATTATGGTTAATAATAGTGATCTGCTTTTGTACAGAAAAATGATTTCACAACTTTTTGTTTTTATAACTTGGATGATTCTATTTTATTTTAGTCAATCTTTGCAGGCAAGTTGGGGATAATGCATTGTGGCTTAACATCTCTTTTGTATGAAGATTTGGCCAGTAAAAGGCATCCAGAGAGGAAATCTAAGATATTTATGATGTTCCATATTTTTATTGTGTGAATCAAATTCAAGTATAACACTGGCCAAGAAAAACAAAATACCGTTGCTAACAGACGAGATGGAAGTTGGTGATTCCAGAGACCCAAAGCATTGAAGTAGATTGTGACTTAACAATCAGCCCAGGCATCATTTGCATATTTGCTCAATGGAGACCCTGTGCCTGTGTGCCAGGCACTGTACTGGGAACTGGGGTCCCTGGGGACTTTGTCTGTCTGGTTTGCTGCTGTATCCTCTCCCAGGGCATTATATTTATGATGAGAGATGCTGTGGATTCATTTCTTTCAATCAAGTGAAAAACATAGACTTTGCATGTTACTGCTGAGTAAATAGCAAGTCCCAGAAACCCAGGATTTGGAAGAATTGGCTCCTCCCAACATAAGACAAATCCCTAACAGAGTGACAGACAGCATAGCAAAGTGAATCTAACATTTTTAACTGTAGACCTGCGTCTGCTTCAGGGGGACTGCTTGCAAATTAGGAAGAGAGCCGGTGAGCTCTTGGCAGAAGGGAGTGGTGAGCAGTTCCCTGTGTGGTTTTGAGYGGGCGAACATTTCCATTGTGCCCTCTCTTCCTTCCGTGATTCTTGCCACCATCTGCCCATCCTGTGCCTCTCCCGTGCATCCATGTTCAGAATGACTGTCACAAAGGGTCCAACAATCTATTGTCAGGACCACAGAGGCTTCAGCAGGTTGGCAGTGAGGTGTGGGTGGAGGTGGCTCTCATCTCCTCCAGTGGCCAACAGGGTGGATATACAAGAACCAGATGGGTGTACCAGCTGCCACTGCAGAGGAGGCCCTTACTTTGTGCTGGAGGCAACAGAGCCCAGGTCCATAGCCTGGCAGAGTGTGCTACCTAAAACAGCCAGGCCCACGGCTGCAGAGCAGGTCAATGAGGACACCACCTGTCATTTCGCATCACTCTCTGTCTCTCTCTCTCTCTCTTTTTATGGTATTACAGTTATGCCTTACAAGTAACAATAAATGTTCCATTAACTGGTGATTGTGTCTCTGAGTGTCTGAACGTCGTGGTGTCTTTTCTATCAAAAGACTTCTCTTGGCAAGCCTAGGGTGTGGACACTGTTTTGTACTTATCTTGCTCCCAGATATGAGACTTTAATGGCTGACAGGAAAAGCTGTAGCAGAAGCATTTTTTTGTTTTGTTTTGTTTAGAAATAGAAGGCTTTTGCTAGGGAAAGATATTCAGGAAATGTGTCCCCTCAGGAGCCAGGCTCCACTAATAACTCAGTTAAATCTTTTGCTTCGTAATATAAACCTTGTGAAATTGTGGTACTATCGCTGGGCTAACAGGCTTCTGCTTAGGCAAAGATATGGTAAACTGAAAAAAGAAAAAAAAAAAGAACAACTTTAGAGCAATGTCAAAAAGCTGCATATCTTCATCCTAAAAGCCCACCAGCTTTTCAAAATTATCGTAAGTAAGGATGTTTCCTTATTTGAACCTCCAAATCTCATGATCTCTTGTTCTTGGAGACACAACATGGTCTAGCACAACATGGCTAATTAGATTATACACACACACACACACACACACACACACACACACATGCACACCTGTACAAAAATACCTGGGCCGTGTATGCCCACTGTAGTAATTATATATCTTTCTTTTTCTTTTAAAGTTGCCTTGAGCAGTAATTTTTTCTATTTTTTGGAGCTTGCTCACAAAAAGAATTACATGTTCCATTCTAACCCAGCCACATACATATCCTTATATATACACAGCTGAAACAAGAAAAATTCATAAAACAGTATGAGACACACTTTTAATCTTTCTATGATATTCCACTAAAAATACTGATCCAATAGTTAAATTAGGTCCCAACATTATTTGGTCACAACCACAGTTTTAAAAAAGCAATTGTCCTCCTTCCCAAAGATGGAGAGACCCAATTAGGATCCTGTGTTGACTTCAGTGTTCTCACTGCACACCCACCCCAGTACCGGGAATGGAAGCCAGCACTAGCTGGACAAGAGCTTTACCTCTGATTTACGCCCCCAGTCTGACTTTAGTGTTTTCAATGGCATGATTTGTTCTTGAATAAATAAGACAAGGGACATCCTGTCACCCAGGCACCATCTGTTCTGAAGCTCAGCGGTTGTCTTAGCCTGGTTTGCCACTAATCAGGCAAAATGAATGCAACCATGCAGATTCCACGGCACCCACCCACAGCCGCCAGTGCTGGTCTAGCAGATTTCTGCTCTTGGAAGCCCTGGAGACTCTGGCCCACTCCCTTTTCCTTTGGAATGAATGCTCACCACTTTGGGTCTTGAGGTCATCCCCTCCTTAACTCCCACGGTCTTCCATTCACCCCTCCTGCCCTCCCCCCCAGGAGAGATGAAGCAGGAATCATAACCATTTCTAAGAAAGGTATAAAAAGACTGAGCCAGGAAAAGGCCATAAACCTAGGACCTCTGAGCATCCTCCCCAGCCACCAGCACTTTCTGGAAATTACCCTCTGGCCTCTCACCTACCCTCTAGGTAAAATGGAATACCACTCTAAGACCTCAGATAMACGCCACTGCTGTTGGAAGGAAGCTTTTAAATTCCTGTTTTTTGCTRAACCAACTTTTAAAAAGTACTTCTGTTCCCTGGATGTTTGAGGGGGTAGGGTGGCTGAGAAGGGGCCTCATGGGGATGAACTTGACACCAAAGAGAAAACTACAAATGAAGTTATCACTTTTCATGTTTATGGGCTTGAGGGCCTGCTTATCATGGGGAAGGCAGGGTGGGCAATCTCAAGTCCTAAGCCCTAGCAGGTAGTTGTTATATTGCTAGTAAGGTAACAGCGGCACATCAAGCAAAAACGTGACTTCAACTGTAGTTTCACAAATTATAAAAATATATATATATTTTAGGGGTAATAGTGATACTGTAGGGATAATTAAGCCCAACAGAGCTGGGGGATCGTAGGTTTCCTATTTCAGAAGTAGTAGGATGACGTGTCTAACAACAGTTAAAATGAAATAATGGCTAGTAGAAGTGGCACCCCCACCCTCCTCATCCACTCCTAAAACACTCTCCACCACCAGAAAGAACCTCCCTTTGTCACTGTGCATAAAATTTACTCCCAAACCCAGTTAGAGAACCAGAGTCATGGGGATTTGACATCAGGTACTCCAGACCCCAAGATTTCTCCAACATTATCTCTGGTGTCAGGGGAAAAGTACTAAATGACTCTTGGAGTCTTTCTGCAACATTGGACTTACTTTGCAGTTGACATATTGACCATGACATCCTACACCGCTAGCTTTCCACCCTAGTTATAAAATTAAAAGGAGAAACGAGGTCACACACAGCTTGAAGCCAGAGGGTAGGTTTGCTGTATAAAATGCACATATTGTAGGCCCAGTTTTGGGGTCTTCTGATGAGTCTGAGAGGGTTTGTGATGTGGGGAGGAGGTATCTCCCAAACTGCTTCCTTCCCTCTTAGCTCTCACTGTCACACAGGCTAAATTTACACATTTGGCAGCTAAACATTGGTGTCTGTTTTATTACGTAAACAAGCAAAACCTCACCCTGTCCTTGATGTGCTTTTCTGTGGCCTTAATGAAGGGTTGGGCACTCTTGTTTGGAACTGCATTCAATTTAAGGATTTGGTTCCCTTGGCCAAAGTGTTTAGGGATGTAGATGTAGATGGGCAATTTGCGCAAATCATCACAGAAATATACCTCATTGAAAGTTTCACATTTCATGTTTTCCTGTCGTAGGGGGAAAAAAAGATGTATTTTAGTCTGACCCGGAGATACATAGAGTAAGATGTTAGATTGTCTTGCTGATATACCTTGGCCAGAAGTCTTTGTCCTCCAGAACAGGTCATAGGAATGTTACTGTAAACTAACCTCTTTTGTGTGGGCTGGAAAAAAAGGACCCTTCAGAGCCTGGGAATATCAACTATGTTAAGAGTTTAGTAATTTCCTGTGGAAATGAACAGAAACATCTATGGCGTTCTCAAAATAGAGCACCTGCATTAGCCATGGTGCTGCTGACCCCAGGACACAGTGCAGACTCTAGGACTGGCCAGGTTATTTCTGGTACAAAGCTGCAATCGTGGATGGGAGTTTGGAGGGAAATTTGCTTCTATCTCTTTGGTGTACTACAATGTGTCCTGTTATTTAACTGAGGTGAAGAAGAGAGATGGGCTTGAAGATCGCTTGAAAACATGCAACTCTCAAATATCTTGAACATCTGGGAAGAATTTGACAGGACAGAGGCCACCTAGTCCAGTGCTTCAAAACAAAGGGCAGCAATAAATTGAAAAATGAAGCATTTTGCTTCAGTTCCTCACTCACTCATCCAATCATTCATCATTCATTGTCTGCCACTCTATTAGTCAAAATTCATGCAGGAGATAGTAACCACAACGATGATTTGAACAGGGAAATTTTAATGGCTTGTAAAGGGGATTCACTACTAAGAGGGATAAAGAGATCTAAAAAAAAAAAAAAAAAAAAGTGGAACAGCAGATGCAAGGAGCAGCTACCATCTGCAAGGCCGAGGAGAGTACTCCAGGAGGGGACAAACTTGAAAGAGGGTGAGATGCAGATTTAGTAAAGCTGAGGCTGTGACCCACGGGATGGCGAAGAATTTCCCTAAGGTGCTTCAGGGAGTTCTCCCCCAGAGTGATGGTGAAAGTCTCTAGGTGTAACTTCCTGGGGTGCTAGCAAAATCAACAGAGGTGTACTCCACTAGGTCTCCCACAGGAACGTACCCACTGGGCTCTGTGCCCTAGGAACAGGAGGAAATCACAAGAACCCCAAAGAAAAGCCCCTTCGTCTTACAGCGACCCGCCAGCGCCCTCTATTGACAAATCTTGCATTGCATCTGCTGGTATAGAAGAAATGTTTAAAGGGTCCAGTTCCAGTATCTCAAAACAAGACAAAGAAGAGTCGATGAGGAAAGAAAGCAATAGACAGTTAACTGGCATAACCATGCTTCACATACTTTACTACACACAGTATTTTAAAATGAGAAACTGTGATCCTTTCTCTTGGTTTTTACTTGTTTGTTCATTTTTTGGTACTGGGGATTGAATCCAGCTGTGGTCCTTTCTCTTAAAAATCTTACCATAAGTCAGGTATGACAGCTCACATTTGTAATCCAATGATTCAGTAGGCTGAAGCAGGAGAATCACAAGTTCAAGTCCAGACTGAGCAACTTACCAAGACCCTTTCTAAAAATCAAAAAAATAAAAAGGCAGGGAATGTAGCTCAGTGGTAGAGCATTTGCCTAGCACACGTGAGGTCCTGGGTTCAAAATCTATCCCCTCACTCAAGAGAAAAACAAAATGTTTATCATAGTAGTGGAAAAAAATCCCTAAATGAAAGTGTTAGGGTTCTGTTTTTTCTTTTCTTTTCTTTYYTTYYTTTYYTTTTTTTTTTTTTTTGGCTTTGTTCCTTTTAAAGAATATAACAGTCTCTCTAAGTCCTCTGAGCCACTCGGATGAGTACCTTGTATGTTCATAGCACTGTCTTTACATATGACTATTCATTCATTAGTTTAAATCAACTTAAACCAACATAACATACATGTACAGAAGAAGGCAGTTTTGAAGCCAGACTGGAGAGTGGGAATCCCRGTTCTCCATTTACTGACATCAGAACTTTGGGCAAGCTACTTACTCTGTCTGTGCCTCCATCTCTTCTTGGGTAAATACAAACAGTATGAACCTCACAGTGTCATCAGGAGAATCTAATAAGAAGGAGACACGCAAGAACTGTAAAACACAACCTCTGGCATATGATAAGGATTCAGTAAACATTTGGTATTGTCTTTATAATATGTATAATCAAACATATTATAAAATAAGAAAGGGCTGAAAATGATCTTTTAAGACTCCCCATTTAGGAAAGAATGATTTCATGGGTCTATATTTAAAGAGATCTTACTCCATACAATCCACATGAAGAAGATATAAGAATCTTAGTTGACCCCAAGTTAATGAAGTCCAGATTAC